AAAAGCCGGGATTAATGAATCCCTCGGCTCCCGGCACGAAACTGCTCCGCTCTAATAGCCCCGTGATCGGCACAGCCTCTCTCCCAGGGGTGGGAGGGATGAGAGAGGGCTGGCGGAGCTAAACAATTCAACCCTATTCTTTTCCCCACCGCGGAGGAATTAAGCCCATTTTCTCAACCTTAAAAGACCGAGGGATTTTTTTTTTATTATTATTATTTTTTTTGCCTTGGTGACAATTCCCCCAGGCTGGTTAAATGGCTCATCTCAGGCTGACGAGGGCTTTGAGGAGATGTCAGGAGCACGTGCCTCCCGGGAGCCGGGGTGCGATCCCGGCAGCATCCCTGCGAGGTGAAGCCAGCGGGTGACCCCGACCCCTCCGAGAGCGTGAAGACAAACAGAAACGCAACAAATCATTATTTTTAACCCTTGCGATGTGCCACCTCTAGCCCACCGACTTTTGGGAAGGGCAGCAGCAGGCTCATGCCATTCCCTCATGGTCTCCAAGGTCCATGGGGATACAAGGAGGAGCTTGATGGCCAAAGGGTGCATGTCAGCTACCAAGAAGCCAGAGTCCAACTCAAGGTCAGATTTTCACTCAAACACAGTTAATTTCCCAACAGTCCTAATGTAAGTCCTGGCTCAGGCTTTTAGGGCTGGTCTTAGTGAACTTCCAGGAGGGGCTGGCGGGTTTCTTGGGTTTGGGTTCCCCACCAGCGCTGAGCAGCACCTTCAAACGTGCAGGTCCCATTTGCTGTCTCAGCCTTCAACCGTCTTCCTGATACTGGGAACTGGGAAATACTCTCACAGGACTGGGAGAAGGGAGGGAGTTACTGGAGCTCTTCTCTGGAGACAGCATCCTACCAGCACCTGACCACGCTCATGGGTCAAGGTGCTCAAAACCTCAGCCTCCTCCACCGCCCCGGCCAGCGGCAAATAGAAAGGTCAACGCCACCAAAACCTGCAGCAGTTTTACATTATTATTCTTATCCTACGTTTCTGGCAAAATGACATTATTTCCCGATTCCAGTCTTTAGCTAAAATTAGTGTTTCTTTTTCCGTGATGAGAAAATGTCATTTTGCCGTAAAACCCATGTGCGCTTTCTGTTTGTTTATTCAATAGCAGAGGAACGTCTGGCCAGGAACACTCCGGTTTGCGAAGAGCCCTCCCTCCGATGGAGCGCTTCAGCTCCTCACGGGAATAGACCAGCTCCTGGTGGGAACAAAACCACGCTGAGGGCCAACCATGAAACTCAAAGGAATCCACTGGTGACGGTGCTCAGAGCAAAGCATGAACGCATGGACTCCGGTGGTCTCCCAGTTGTCGGAGACCCGGCACGGAAGACATCGCCGTCCCCACCTCGGCCAGGTGGGAATATGGTTTTTCACAGGGAAAACCTACACAAGTTCCTGGGTTTAAAGCACATGAACAAACAGGTTTCTCCAAAGCTTGAATCTCAACTTTGCCATTTTCAGATCTCCTGAGTTACAGCTGGAGAAGAAACACCACGGTGGTCACCCCAAGAAGCATCACAGCCAAGCCTCGTGCTACACATGCTGCCACCTGCACCAAGAGGTCTAAGTCAGATCTCTTTCCATCACTCCCCCCAACAAAACCAGCTCTAAAGCACTTTGACACCTGCCTTTGACCTTCTCCCTCTTCCCAACCCTTCCTTGACCTGGTGGTGCCCACTATCTAGAAGCTATTTGGAAAGCACCGACGAAACGAGGTTAGCTTCTCAAGCAAAAAGCCCTCTCCTCTTCCCTCCTTCCAAGCAGCGTACAAAAACAATACCTTAATTCGGGCGAGGAGAAGGAAAGGGCAGCGAGTAAAGCTAATAAAAAAAGAAAATAATCCTCCAACAGTATTTGGGAAATATTCATCAGAACGGCGAACGGAGATGAAAAGCAGCGAGCGCCATTTCCATATTTATAAGCCTGTGCTGCAGAGGACTCCAACGGGAAGCAGCACGCTGGCGGCGTGGCTGGGGGAACCCGAAACACCAGCCCCAAAAATTCCAATTAATGCCAAGAATCAGAGCGCCGGCCCGCGCAGCGCTT